CATGAACTGAGAACAAGCTACTGAGGTGCTGCTGATAGTTTGCACAGTGGGCAGAGCTTGGCCTTGGCCAGTGGCCTGAGGGCTTATCCGGGATCTCTAGTGGATTTGCATCTCTTGGTATAGACAGTGTTCCTTTGACTATGCTTCTGATGTCTTTGAGGTTTTCTTTCTAATATTAGGCATGTCTATACCAGCTGGAGTGTGAACTGTGGGTGATGCCATGCAGACAAAACGTAGAGCTTATTTCTACCAAAAAAAAAAAAAAAAAAAAAAAAAAAAAAAAAAAAAAAAAAAAAAAAAAAAAAAAAAAAAAAAAAAAAAAAAAAAAAAAAAAAAAAAAAAAAAAAAAAAAAAAAAAAAAAAAAAAAAAAAGGCTTTCAAAACTGTGTTTGAAATTATGCAAATTTATGGTGGAAAAATCTGTCTGCATCTATTATACATGACGACATAGGTACAAACTCCTGTCTCAAAAAACCCTTCTGCTGCATATATGAAAGGAGAAAGGTGATAGGAAAAAAATCACCACTGTAGAAGTCCTATTTCTTTCCTGAGATCTGCTATCAGGAAATCTGAGAGACAGGATACTGAGCTATATGGATATCAGCCTGACCCAGCAGGGCTTGTACTTATGTTCTGTTTATTTATCTAAGAAGGAATGAGGAGAGAGCCATTATCTCATTTTTACTTTGAATGTGTTCCTTTGATTTTGAATGAAGGATAACTACCACATTACCATGGAGGAAGATACCTTGTCAAGAAGATGAAGGAAGGTTGTGAACTAGCATTCTTCATCACCACCAAGAAGCCCAGGAGGCAAACACTGGCTCCACTAGCTCTTGAACAGCAGTGGCAAAACTATTTTCTAAACTTTATAGGTTGAAAACTGCCATATTTGAGAATGATTAGAGTAATTTTGGCTTAGTTTAGTGCAAGAGCCTGACAATCACAGAGAAAGGTAATCTAAGTGTCTGACAGTTTATGGTTAATCTGACACTTTACAGATGCATACTGTGTGACAGCTGTAATGAATCAGATTATTACAGCGACTTTCTGCTCCCTAAAGCTTATTTAATCCTGTCTTTCTCAAAATGGGGCTGTGTGTTAGGGGGTGGGGTGAGTAAGTGTAAAACCTATCAATGAGATAGAGGGCCTGAAGCCAGACAAATCAAAACATTTAGAAATTCTGCTAATGTTACGAAGATGAAAGGAATCCCCAAATAAAAAGGAGCCAGAGACATATTTAGCAGAGCCTCATTCCTAAACAGCCAATTGGATGCAGGCAGGAAGGTCTCCACGCACATCTCAGAAGTTGTTTTCCCTTATAAAGTAAAGCAAAGGGTTTACTTTATTCACAGTCTTCTATAGCAGTTGGGATAAGCCTGCAGCTTCTGTCCTCCTTTACCAAAAAAGTATGGCATCTACTCACTGGTGTGGGGGCCTCTGAGCTGGCATTCTTCAGGCCAGCTGGAGCCCATTTCCCAGGCATGGTGGCTGCACAGCTGCTGTGGAGTCCCAAGTACTCTTTGGGCCCATATGGAAATCTGCACAAGTTACTGATAAAGAAAGAACTTAAGGAAGGTGTAGCTAAGAGTTTCCACTGATATACTAAAAGATGCTTGATGTCAATAGGGAAGTTCCCAATGGGCATTGGAGCTTTGTTAGTATCTCTGTAAAGAGATCAGAGAAAAGGGTATTAAGAGAGAGGCAAAATTACTTTTTCCTGTTGTTTTTCTTTCTCTCATTTCACTCCAGACATATCCTGTGATAGTGACTACGAAAGGGTTTAATATGGAAAAACAAAGTTCTCAGGGGAAGCTAATGAAAAACATAGGTTTTGGCTATGGATACAAAGAAAGAATGGGAACCTTGGGATATAGAAACACCAGGCAATTGAGCTGTGTGGTTTCTGTACAGATGAGTGGCATAAGGACTGAAAGATAGGCAGCAGAAACTGCTGATGGAAGTAGCCTCTAGAGGAAAAGGTAAACTACTTTCAGGAATGGTGGTGTGTTCTTTTTCTTGAAGAAAGAAAGGAACAAACAAACCCAACCTCCCTTATATACATATATATATATACACACATATACATACATATATAATATACATACATACATATATATATATGTATGTATATTTGGGCTAAGCTCTTTTGTGCCCATAGCTGCAGAGGAGAGTTCAGTGTTTTGATCCCCAGCATTTAGGTTTGATTCTCAGAAGACTCGTTCTACTCAGTTCTCTTTAGGTTATTATTCATATTTTGTGCCAAGTACATTCTCCCCTTCCCTCCCTACCCTTCTGACAATAACCTAAGTTGCTGAGAAAAAAGGTGTAAACTACTGATGTACTTTTATGTCTAGTAATGACTGTGTGATCATAACTTCATCCAAAAAACAAACAAACAAACAAACAAACAACAAAAAAAAAACCTCACCAAAAAGAAAAGGAATACTTTCATTCTATAATGTCCCTTGAGCTGGACTGACCTAATTTCCTTGCATAGTTCACCTGTTTGCCTGCCTTCCTTCCTGCCCCGCCACTTTCCATAACATCACCCTGCAGAGACAATCTGCCTGCTGAGCACTGCTCTTCATTGTGTGCTGGAGGCATAGCTGGGCAGCATCTCTACATTTTTCCTTTTCTGTTTCTGTGTATCCATCACTACTGCTTAGTCAAGCCTCTGGCTTACTTCTTTCTTCTAGTCTGCCTATGTCTGTCTCTAACAAATGTCCTTCATACAGTAGGTCCTTCCAAACAACTGGTGTTTACTGTGTGTCACCATATCAACAACTACCTGCTCTGAGTGAGACTGTGTCAGCTGTATCTTTTTCATGAGCACCCTGAAAACTAGCACTCCTACATCTTTGGTGCCCATGACAGGTAAGGTGATGTGTGATCCCCACCCAAAAAACCATTCCTCAAAGCAGCCGAGGTTCTGCTTCTGCCATCATTGCCATCAACAGTAATTGTGGTGTTCACTAAGATATCTTGATGAAGCTTAAGAGAAGTACAAGTCTATGGTATCTGCGTGGCCACTGTGTCCTTAATGTTCACAGAGGCCTCTTGTAGAAAATTTGCCTATATTTCTAGTTATACCAAGGTGCAGTGTGAATGATGTATCAGTCCTACTGAAGGGTTGTTTACTTGGCTCTGCAATCTCATATGTGCTTTATCCAATATAGCATCATCACTAGTAAGCTGTTTTCAGAGTGTAAGCTCAGTAAGACAAAAAGTTTGCATTCTTTTGAATCTTTGTCCCAGTCTTGGTATTTCCAAGGAGTAGTAGTTGATGATGTTTCTGAAAACCTAGGATTGTGTTTCTTCTAATCGAGAAGGTAATTGATGTTTGTACCAAAATCAGACATGATACTGCACTGAAGGGTTATGCTATGTGAAATTCTCCTTCCTCTTGACCAAAGGTCCCTGATCTAATACCATATGTTCTATATGAGGTGTACAAGTTTTCTCAGCTGTGTTATTGAGTGTTGTTTGAAAACAAAGAATTTGGTTTTGGCTGTTCTTTGAGTGTCAGTTGTAGATATGCAAAAAAGGGCCTGTTTAGGTCCTCTCTTTTAGGTTGCTTATCTTGGTGGTTTGGGTTTTTAAATTTTTTTTCCTTTTTTTTTTTTTTTTTTTTAATATTCCTATCTTTTGACCCAATAGTAGAAGTGAAATAATAAATAGCTTTTGCATGGCTCATGTTCCAACATTTGATAGCTTCTGTTTCTGACTCTCCAAGGCAGTTACATTCCTTCAAAGTTCCTTTCCTTAAAAGTTAAATTCCTTTTGATCTTCAATCCATAATTCTGTCTATCTGCTATCTCTACTGGTAGCTTATTGCTTAAATTTTCACATCAGAAAAACTTTCACTGTGGTTTTGTGGGAGATTTTCTTGTATTAAGGCTACTCAATTAGGCAGCAAGCACTCTGTAAGCAAACTCACAATGCCTCTCCCTGTTGCAGCAAGACTCACAAAACAAGGATCTCACTTGGATTTTCACATCTTTCTTGGCTTGTGTGGTTGGACCAGTTTTGAATTTGTAAGGTTTAGCATTGGAGTTAAGAGATGCTGTTTCTGATATTTTGTAAAAACTTAATGACAAAATGTTGGCTATAAAAGGGCTGCTACACTAGAATTAGCCTGTCCAGAGAACAGTTGGCTACAGCTGTAAAAAATTGAGGCCCGTGATGAAAATAACTTGTACAGGGAGAACCATTCCTTTATTTGCTAAAAATATGTTCAATGGAAAAGCTAGCTGGGGTTATAAAATTCAACTACTTTACTACTAACAATTTGAGATGTGAGTTCATGGCAGTCCAGACTTGTGACCTTCAGTGAAGTAGCACTAGGGCATAATTGGTCTGCAGGTCCTAGAGTTGAAAAACAAGCTGTCTGAGAAACAGAATGGATTCTAACCCATCATAATCCAGAGGGATCATAACAATCTCTTAACTGAACTTTTTCACAACCTTCAAAGGTTGTGAACCATAAACAACAGCAGGTACTTTTTTACTACCCTTAAGCCTATGGGCAATATTTAGTATACAAGCAAAATGCCAAGCTTTTAAGGAGACTTTGTAGAAAAACTGAGAAGGTGTTTAGCTGGCCAGAAAGATTTTCATTATTTTTGTCAAAATCTTTAAGGGCAGGAAAGTGTTTCTTTAAAAACACCTTCCTTGTTAAAAATGCCCTTTCAATTTCTCATTCTGCCTCTTGGGTGTTACTGTGGAGTCCTGGACCTCTCCTGTTTGAACACGTGATCCTCCTGCCAGAAGATGTCTATTGTGGGCAGGCTCTGACTCTGTATTTTAGTAACTCCTGAAGTTTTAAAGTGTTTATATTACACAGCTGAAAGTCTCCTGTTTCATGAGCTCTGCACTGGAATGCGGTGGAAGAGACCCAGGGCCTGTGGCCACCCAGATTAGAGTTTTTTGTATTAAGGTCCCTATATGGTTTTGTTAAAGACTTCAGCTCTGTCTCTGTCTGTCTCTGCTCCTTGTTTGGGAGGCTGGTGGGAGGAGAAGAGTTGAAGGGTCTATATAATCTCAGAGCTTTCAGATACAGAGTGCACCATCCCAGAGCAGCTATCACCAGCCAAGCACTGTCAGGGTAAGTGGCACGGAACCAATAGTATGATTTACAGATTGCTGGAGGAGTTCAATTAAGTAATGTCAAATGGAAGCTATTCAGGAGGGTGTACTGCTGTGCTGTAGTTTGCTTAAGCAAACTTACTTATTAGAATTGAGTTGATAAAGTACTTGTAGTATCTATACTGAGTTGACTTCATTTTATAGCACTTCTGAAAGGGACAGAAAAGTTCTACCTAATAATTTTGCTGATTCTACCAGCACTTCAGCAATTGTATAAATAAATGGTTTGTGTAATGCCACAGCTGGAACTACAGCTATGCTCATGTTTAAATGAACTCGTATGACCTTGGGGTATTAGTCTGGGGCAGAACAAAGTTCCTGAAGGGGTATGCAGTAGTGTTTCTTAGCAGATTTGCTTCAGTGCTGTTAACCCAGTGTAATGTACATGAGTGTTTTGGGGCATGTGACTGCAAGAAGAGCGGGAAGTGTGCAAATTAGCAGCATGTAATAGGATAAAATGAGGATGTGTGTGTATTCATCCTACTGTTCTGTAAAATGCCAAATATTTTATTAAGGAACACACACAGACTTCTTGTGAAGCTGGAGTTCTCTTCAATAGCTTGTTGTGGAGATTGGTGAAGTGATTGATTATATTTAGAAGTAAAGCCTATTGATGACTTGGGAGAAAAATGTCCTGTCTTCCACAGTACTCAGTGACATTTGCTGCTCTAAGATGTTGCTACTGCATACCAGAGCAGCCCTGAGCTGTAACTCGCTGGTTGGCAGCAGAGCCCTCTGTCTGATTTTTCAGCTTTTTGTGCTTTATTACTAAATATGGTTTTCATTTAGAGTCCACTAGGCTCAGAAATGTAGCCTTTCCTGCCCCCTTCTTTCCCCTCCCCCCAGTGATTTTTGGCATTGCACTAGCTGCATTGGTTTGAACAAACCCCCTGACCTCGAACTCTGTTCCAAAAACAGATGGTTGAAAAGCCTATTTCCTAATTAGGAAATGGTTTGTCCAAACCAGTCTGTTCATTCATGTTAGATAACAGTTGTACTCCATTCAGTAAATATTTGAATATAAAGAGCCTGCTTCCCTAGGAGTTTAATAAATTAAGAAATCGCAACCTACTTTCCCAATTATAGGGATAAAATATCTGGAGTACATAGAGTTAGGATTTCCTTATCCGTGTCTTCTCCTGGGAATTCTGCCCACTCATCCTGCAGGAGCAGGGTTGCAGCCGTGTCTGGTGGCTGCCTGGGCAGAGGCAGAGGATCTCAAATGAAGCATTTGGAAGAACTGCCCATGCTTGTTCCATCCAGGTAGAGGATGAACAGATTGTGGACTCCCTTGCCCACTGGCCATAGCTCTTGCTGACTGCATTTCCATTTTGTCCCGTGCTTCCAGTATTCCTGTGGCAGAAGGTTTTGATTGCATGTGGAGCCAGCTGGTCCATGGATGACAGCTGTCTCCTTTAGCTGTTAACACATTGCAATTTGTTGAACTCTGCATGGAAGCACAGGCTCGGAGTGAGCCAAGTGATTCCCTAACACACTATAAATTGCAAGCAAATAGTTCTTCTTGAGTCCTGGTATTCAGTTCTTGTTTCTGTAATCGACTTTAATACAAAGCCTTCAAAGTATTTTTATTACCCATATTATCATCCTATTGCCAGAGGAAGAAAACAGTTTCTTTTTACTGAGTCAAGGAGCCAACATAAATTGCTCTGTCACTCTACAAATGTAGCTTATTAGGCTGCTTTGAAATGATGATAGAGAAATGGTTTTAAAAATACATACTGTCTCTGGCTTCATTTTAAAAGTGGGATTTTTTCCTGAGTGATTAGGGAAGGACTCAAAAATGGTTGCTTGCCTTTTTTTTTTTTTTTTTCCCTTTTTTTAATTTAGAACATTTTTTCTCTTTTAAAAGGTTAACCACAAACTTAATTGGCCATCTTCACCCAGTGGGTTAATATCTGCTTCAGAAAAACACCCCTGGTACATGCATAGCATTTCATGTGGTCAGTTGTTGGGAAGAATAGGACTAAAAGGGAAAGATGAACTGCTCTTACCTTTGACAGTTTTCCACATCTGTCAGGACTTTATCAGCATGATAGAAAAGTGGGAGAAGTTGTGCTGAATCCAATGCAAATGGATCTTTGTTTTTGCAGCTGTCAGTTCAGTGCTCTCTTTTATCCCCCACCCCCAGCCGTGGATTTCTGTGACCAAATTTAGATAAACATTTGCTGCTCCTTGATCTCTCTGCCCATGCTGCAGGGCTGGAAGTCTCCTCTGGAATTCCCTGGATAATCCCTAGTGCACACAGCCCCTTGGCAGACATGGTTGAAACGTCTCACGCTTTCAAAAGGAAGCCCATTCCCTCGAATAGCTCAGCAGCCCTTGATTGTCAGACCGGGGCCATGCCCCTCCTTGCTGTGCTGGCTGCTTACATGCAGCCATCTCTGTCTTCCGGGGTGGAGGGGGAGGGGGGTGTCTGATATATTAGTTTTTTGGGTTTAATTCTTCTCTGCTGTTTTCATAGGACTGTTTTCTGTCTGGAGGGCCAGAGGACACTGACGTAGAAGATGTGTGAGGAAGAGGACAGCACTGCCCTTGTGTGTGACAATGGGTCAGGGCTCTGTAAAGCCGGCTTTGCCGGGGATGATGCTCCAAGAGCAGTTTTCCCATCCATCGTGGGTCGTCCCAGGCACCAGGTGACGAACTACTTTGGTTATTCCTTACTGGACTCATAGAAGGCTTTGCTGTCCTGACCCCAGCTCTTCACCATTCCCTATGTCTTGGGCTAGTCCAGCATGGGGTGATCTGTGTAACACAGTAATTCCAGGCAAAATACTCACCTGAGTGAAAGCAAGTCTCTTGCCTCATGAGAGAAATCCTTCTAAATTTTTTCTCTCCCTTCTATACCATCTTTTGTGTGCCCCATAACTTTGAATCAACCAGAGAACTTGGTGAGTACAGCTAGTTTAAAAAAAAAAAACAAAGCCAAAACAAAAACCAAAAAAACAACCCAAAACCCAAGTAAGCCCAACACAGAAATAACTGGAAATTCTGAATGCCCTTAAAGCTAATGATAGGTAATATGTGGAAAACTAAGGGAGGAAGAAGTTTTTAGTTGGTTTCCTAATAAACTTCCTGAGTTTATTCATTTAGTTGTATCGCAAATAGGCACTTGCCTAGGGTTGAACTTCTTTAGCTTCAAGGTTTACATTTGAGTATATGATGCATTCCACTATATTTTAATAGTTTTCAAAATACATTTATTACCTGAGTTGTTAAATATAGGGAGTTTATGAGATGGATCATCATCAGCATGAACTAGAGCAGCTTGGCTAGGCCACAACAAACTAACTCATATAATTAGCAGATCCACCTAATTGCTTCTATGTCACCTAAGGCCCTGGTGGAAAGAAACAAGCTGGTTGTAAGATGTGGCACTTAATATACCCAGCAAATGCATTTTAAGTTCTTAAGGACTGCAGAAATATCTGCCTGTCAGTATAGAAGCTACTACTACCGGATCCATGAAAATACCTATGAAAAAGCTTGTACCATTAGATTTAAATTGCCTTTCTCTAATTACAGTATTAGAGTGTTCAAAAAGAGGATTAAAAAATGTTGAAACTTAAGCTTTGGGAAATATAAAGTGTGTATCGCTCCATCTTGACCCTTAGATGGCACAATTTAGCAGACAGTTAATCCATAAATAATAATGAAGATTAAAACAACTTTATTTTTCCACTTTATCTTGATGTTATTAATATTGTACTTGTTCTGTTTACTTAAACTGTAGTGCAAACATGAACTCCAGGGATTTAAGTGAACTAAACATTTAATACTGGCAATTTAAGAGCAACAAATAAGTCTGCATTTGTTGGTATTTGCAAAGTATATTGTAACTAGCATAACTGGCAGTTGGATTTATTTCACAGTTAATGTTTTGTCTACTTTATGACACTTCTCCCTGAGGGACTAACTCAATTTGTATTATTTTATAGGGTGTGATGGTTGGTATGGGTCAAAAAGACAGCTACGTAGGTGATGAGGCTCAAAGCAAGAGAGGAATCCTGACCTTGAAATACCCCATAGAACATGGCATCATTACAAACTGGGATGACATGGAGAAGGTATTTCAGCTTTGAAAAGTTCATGTGTATCACTAGTAAGCAAAACTATTTAAACCAAATGTTTACCCACTAAATTTTAGATGAAAGTGTCGTGCTATCCAGTGTGGTTTAATGAGAAGCTTGTTAACAGCCAAGGTTAACTTGCATCTAAAGCTTGAGTATCACTAGAAGTCCATAGGGAGTTCTTTTACTCCCATCTGATCTTTGCTAATTACTGAGGGGTGGGGGGTGGCAGGGTAAGGAGAAGGGAGGAAAGAAGGAAAAGGAATAAATCAATTTGCTAGTAAGAAAATGGAAATTAAGAAGGTGTCTGTTTCAGCAAAAATGCAAAGTGTGTATGTGAAGGGCACTGTTTATACACATACTTCTTAATGCTTGAAAGATAAGCAATATTGCAGTGCAATGCATCCATTTCAGAGCCAGTTCAGAGGATGAAAGGCTTTCAGAACCGTGTTTAGTCACGGTTTGCTCAGATAATATAATTTCTGTGATTCTAAGGTGGTATTCCTATTTAATGTTGTTCTGTGAAAACAGAACTATTTGGAACAGTGAGGACATCACAACACACTGTAAATGTGTGGAGTCAAAATACTGTAGATTTTACTCGAAAGCAAAGCCTTTTAGATCCAAACATACTAACTGATCCCTAATCACCACCACCTTGAAAACAAGCTTAGCAAAAACTTCTTGGCCTTTAGAGTAAAGTTTCTGGTCAGTTTACTTCTTATTAGTGTCTTAACCTCCTCATTGCAATCCACTTGGCCTCAGATTTTTACAGCTTGTAGGAATGAGTTGTGTGGAGGTGATAAACACAAGTTGACTTTCAACCCCACAAACCATTTACCTTCCTTTCTTTTTATGAACTCTCGGGCTGGCCTCTACAAATGAAAATATGAAACTCTCAAGAAATCTATTATTTGTTGAACTCTACGTATGTTGTTCTGGAAGTGTTTAACTTTCAATAGTTGAAATAGCATTGCTGGAACTAAGTCTGTCCTGCTCTGTCTCTTCTACTGTAAGAATAACATCAATTTTCATTAGCTTATGTGTCTTTAAAGTAAGCTATATATTACTAGCAGTAAAACTTGAGGAAAATGCTTTTCTTTCTATACTTATTCTGGTAATCTCTATGAAGGCAGTAAGAACAACTGCATGAGAAACATCACTAGTCTATATCTAGGGCTGTAAGCAGAGAGCTGGAGCACACCACCTGTCTGGAAGTGATCCTGAGCTGCTGGATGATAGTGTTTCTTTCCTTTGGCTTCTTCCATTATCCTCAGATCTGGCATCACTCTTTCTATAATGAGCTCCGGGTTGCACCTGAAGAACACCCGACCCTGCTGACTGAAGCACCGCTGAATCCCAAAGCCAACCGTGAGAAGATGACCCAGGTGAGCTCACACTAAAGCCATGGGATAATCCAACTTTGCTGTTCAACAGGGTATGACCTTCATCATTTCAGTTAATCATGTTGTCCAGTAGTCTCTCTCTCTCTTTGTTATGGAAGATGGAAAGTGCATAGTGACTACCTATTATGTTTACATATTATTACATTTACTTTAGAAAATCAATGTATCCACTTCAAATGTGAGTACTTCAGTCTGTCCAAGCTTTATGACATCCTAATCTATTTTTATGCCCAGGCCTATTACAAAATTATCTTTAATATGAGCACATGTCTATACTAATACCTTAAAGATATATGCCAAATACAGGGAGATACCTTATTGGACAAATATTTTTGGATTTAGATTTTTTGTTTTACTTCCTTCTAAAACCTTACCGACCATTGAGAAATATGAAAATCTTGTATTCTACCTCTCTTTCAGTCAATTGCTTCAACTAAGCTAACCCCCTCAGTATTAAGACAATTATTTTCATTGCATTTCAGATTATGTTTGAGACATTCAATGTGCCAGCCATGTATGTAGCTATTCAAGCCGTTCTGTCCCTCTATGCCTCTGGACGTACCACAGGTAGGCCTCTGGGAATACGACATAGACTTTGAAATAGTGACGTGTGCTGATGAGGGCCTGGGAATGAATTGTGTTATCTTCTCAAAGGGATCGTGCTCGACTCCGGGGATGGTGTCACCCACAACGTGCCAATCTATGAAGGCTATGCCCTGCCACACGCCATCATGCGTCTGGACCTGGCGGGCCGTGACCTGACAGACTACCTCATGAAAATCCTGACGGAGCGTGGATACTCCTTTGTGACCACTGGTAAGGACATACTGCTGACTGAGAGGGAGAGTTTTTAATGTGCAATGTTTCTACTGGCCTTAGAAGGACCAGCAGTGGTCCTTCAGTTAAACAGGCGTGAGAAGGATTCAACATCAAAGTCCCTTGCAAGACTAGCAAAGATTTGTTTAAAATATGGGGAGGGTGTTGGAGGATGACAGGGAACAACCTGTCAGTATGTCTGCGTCCTTCCTGAATGCAATTCTAAATATTGAATCCTTTTGACAGCGGAGCGTGAAATTGTCCGTGACATCAAGGAGAAGCTGTGTTATGTGGCCCTGGACTTTGAAAATGAGATGGCCACTGCTGCATCTTCCTCCTCTCTGGAAAAAAGCTATGAGCTTCCTGATGGTCAGGTGATCACCATTGGAAACGAACGCTTCCGCTGCCCAGAGACCCTCTTCCAGCCATCCTTCATTGGTAAGCTGAAGGACTGTTCTACCTCGGTAAACTGCACATAAATATCAAGTCCATATTGTCTTTTGAATCTGTTCCATTAGTAACTCAGACCTATACACAAGTTGTCCTAGCATCCATTATAAAATAATCTTTCGGAACAGCACTATTAATATGGTGGGAAGAACCTCATGTCAAACAATTAGGCAAAATGCTTTCCCAAAATAAACCCACAATGTTTATTCCTGGCTTCTGGCATTGGACCTGTGCCATTTTGTGTGTTTGAATGTGCTTGCCAGGAGTATGTAGCAGTGGCAGGGGAAGACAGGCAGGCAGGAAGACCTACTTTTATTTTTCCAAAAGAATGCTCCACATCCTGAATCCATGGTTCATCGCATTTTCAGAGCAAAGCCAAGGCAATGCCATGCTAATCAATATCCATGAAGGCAGATTTGCAACTGGGTCACACAGAAATTCAATGTCAGTTCTGCCAATCGGCAGAATTTCAGCTCAAACATAAAGTAGTTGCATACCTAGAGATATTAGGACATATTTTGACTGTTTTGTGTCAAGCTAACTTAATTTAAAAAGAGAAAAGAAAACAAATTATTCCAAGACCATATAAGGAATTCTTAGTACAATTGAGATTGCCTGCAAAAGCCGAGTGGAAACTTTACTATTCCACACCCCCACCTTTCTTTTTAAGGAGGAGATGTGTGCATAAGGGGGAGAGGAGAGCTGTACACCAAGGAACTCTTAAGCAAATAATTAGGCGACTGAAGAATGACTTTCCAGATTTCCAAAGCTCTGAAGACCGTCTTCTAAAGAGATGCTAAAGTTCATGTTCTGTGGTTAACAATTTTAAGTCTTTGTACTGCTTCCTCAGTGTTCTGTTGTACCTTCCCCAGGCATGGAGTCTGCTGGCATTCATGAAACCACTTACAACAGCATCATGAAATGTGACATAGACATCCGAAAGGATCTTTATGCCAACAATGTGCTGTCTGGAGGCACTACAATGTACCCGGGTATTGCAGACAGGATGCAGAAGGAAATAACTGCTTTGGCTCCTAGCACTATGAAGATCAAGGTATGTAGGGTGCAATAATTTGTAGACTATATGAGCTGGCATTTACAAAGTCCTAAAAGATCTAGTGCGATATAGTGACACTTTACAAAGTAAGTTGCTTTTAACATATTTTGAATCACATGTTTAGCAAATAATCATCACCTGGTAACTTTGGTGCTGGAAGAAGGGAGTCCTCTCATCTCTCATGTCTTTGTTCATGTTGAATTCTGCCAACTGCCCTAACATGGGCAAAGAAGAATAGCGTGGACCCAGCAGCATAAATTTTCCTCTGGGGCTGTATGTGAGATTTTTTTTTAGTCCTTTTTATCTGATGGACATGGGAAAAGGGAAATGCCGGTTTTGTCTTTGGTCTACAAGTTCAAAAAACCAAGGAGACTCTGACAAACCAACCTTCCTCCTTCTTGTTTTTCTAAGTCCTCCTGGACTATCATTATTTGTTTCCAGAGCCATTATCTTCCTTTTCATATGAGGCAGTGAGTACACAAATACATCAGGGATAGGGGTTAATGTGGAGGCTGACTCAGGAAGAGAAATTGAAAGTATAGACTTATATAACAAATTGTTAACTTTACTGCTAGCTGTAATGCCAGGGATGACACTAGCACATATAAACAGTATTTTTGTTAATATCAGGTATAACTGCTTTACTAATTTTGTATTAAAAATGCATTTTATTCACAGTAGACAATTGTAATTAATGCTTTTATTTCTTAAACAGATCATTGCTCCTCCTGAACGCAAGTACTCTGTCTGGATTGGAGGTTCTATTCTTGCCTCCCTCTCCACTTTCCAGCAGATGTGGATCAGCAAACAAGAATATGATGAAGCTGGCCCATCCATTGTTCACCGCAAATGCTTCTAAATTGCTTTATCTTTATATATCTCCTTCGTGTGAATGTATTTGGGAAAATACATTCTTATAATTTCATTCCATAAATGCTTCATCTTAATTATCTAATTAATTGGATACTGTGTATTTTTTGTAATAAATTTTAATTATGTTACAAAATTGCTGCTCCTATTTAAAAAAACAAAACCAAAAGCCACGCCGTGCATGTGTGGAGATACCATTACAGCTGGTTTGAAGCACCATCTTGTGACATGAATTTGTTACTACACTGTACTGGGCTTAAAGGTGATACCTTTAGCTTAGTGACACCAATGCCAGAAAATGCTTACCTATCAGGCTGCACGTTCTCAAAGTTCAGCCTCAGAAAACATTTTAATCTGCAAACAGAACATGATTTTTCCAAAGTTCTGGGCAGTACCAAAGGAGCATAGCATGTGTTCAATATCAGGATGAGCATGGGCACTCTGCTTTGCATCTGCTCTATCCAGAAATACTTTCTCTCCACATCACTTCTTAATTCACAGCTGTCATGCTGGAAAAGCCAATTGCTTACAGGATATCAGAGGTGTACAATGTGTACCACAACATTTCTGTGTTTTCTTTGAAGAAACAAAGCCTGTTCCTTTGGGAGCATATCTAAACACTAATATTAGGTTGAACATATGCCCTCAGGATGAGTGCAGCCTATTATTTTTATGTTGTGATTTCTAGCAAGATCTAAAGAGTAATTAAGCTGGCTTAATACACTTTCTCTTCAGAACTAATTTTTTTGGGGGGTGGAGGGGGTGAGTAATGTAATCAAAGTAGATAAAATAATTTAGACAATTTTCTTTTTCTGTGATTTTTCTGATTCCTTTTATAATCCTAAATACATCAAAACTTATAGTTAGCTAAAAGCATATGCATAGAAGCTGAAGCCAGTAATACTGTCTGAAAAGTATATATATATATATATATATGAATAAAGAATTCACTGAGACAGGCCTGAAAAAGGTCACTTCTAAGGAACTTGCTGCAATCTGTGTTCATTAGAGTTCAGGATAAAGGATGCTATTTATTTTTGTTAACCTATTTTCCTCCCTAAACTCAATAGTTTATCTCACTTGCCTGTTACTTGTTGTCTTTCAAACTGTAAGCTTTTTGCAACAGCACCTGTTATTTACCTGCATAACCCCGGGGTTCCAGATCTTGTCCAGCTTCCGAGTGTTAGCACATGTTGCAAACCTCTTTGTACTAACCTCATTACTTAAAGTGTAGGTCATCTAAGTTCTTGGAACAACTACTAAATAAACTCTTGTAAAAGCAAATAACTTTGTATGGTTCTTTCTTCCTTCTAACTCTATCTAGACCCTTTTATCTAACACTAGGTCACAAAGGGAATCCTTTGCAGGATAAGTAATGTCTTTAAATTGAAAGTTACTACTAGAGGATTGCTGGAGGAGACACATTTCTCCAAAGGACTCCGATGCATCTCTGCTCTCCCAAGATGTGATGAGGGTCAGCTCTCAGGTAACAGATTTGTGTTTTCCTAAGTGTTTTCTGTTAGCTGAAACTTGAGCTATACTGTAAGTTGGAATGGGGGAAAGGATGGAAAAAAGAATCACCCCAACTGATCTATTAGCCTCTACTTCATCTAATGTAAATTCACTGAAGCACTGAATAGATGTACATGGCTGAAAATGACAAAAAGCCAATGACTGTTAAAAATCTCTGATTCTCAGAAATCAATTAATTCCAGCAAGTGATAAAAGAAACACTACTTATTTCAACACAGTTACTGTTGTTTGAAGTTCATTTTATTGTGTTTTATAGGTGAGGGTTGTTTACATATTCAGGGGTAATGCCACTGAAGTCCACCTTGACAAAGCAACAAAATAACTCCAAAACAGGCTAGAGCAATAAATATCAAACCATTCAATCTAAAATGTATAAATATAAAAGTAATTTTTGAAAATGTAGGAAAAACAGGAATCCATTTTTCTGTTTTGGCCTTTTGTAGAACAACATCAGTATCATCCATCCGTATCACCTCAGATCCAGAACAATTATCTTTATGTCTTTCCCAACCACATGGGTACATGGCTGCAGAAAAAGTCAACCCATTACTGACAGAAATCAGTTTCAGTAAAATAGCCAGTAACTTCATCCATGAACCAGGTTCGTAACGGACAAGTGAAAAGGGCCCACTTGGAACAAAAAATCTTAACATTTTTCAGAGCTGGACTACCTTCTCATTACCCCTACAATGAACAATAAAAGAACAGAACAAAACAAAGAGACCCGACTTCTTTTGAGGACTAATACTGACATTCTGAAAGTTTGACAACAAAGTAATTTCCACTGTCTCTCAGCATTACTTTTCTGTATTTGATCAATTTGTTTTGAGCTATATGAGATGCATCTGCATTTAAAGTGAGGCCTATTAAAAAACCCCAAATTCTTAATTATTCAAAGGTAAAGACTTATCAGAAATATTACTGTTATCTGGAAGACAACTGTGACTGACTCTCCTGGTGAGCCATACATATAGCTTACTATGTTATTACAACATAGTTGTTATTATCAAAAGATAGGGTAGCCAGGGGAAAATTATGGGCAATGAAAGAAATAGGGCTTAACCTACTCATAGCTGCACTTTATACCAGCTGGGATGTTATGCTGGGACACTACAGTTGGAGAAATGAACTGAACTGATTCTTTGTTTAAAAACTGAAGAGCTCAGGAATAACTCCCATTTGAAAATGTGGCTTTTGCTCCTTCAGAAAAGCAGGCAAGAAGTGTTGACTGATGGTAACTGCCTCTGGTTAGCCACCATTTAAATGGAAGCATGTAACACTCATTTCATGGCTGCTATTGATTGTTTGAGCAGTCTCCTGCTGTCCACCTTAGTCAGTCAACTAAATGTAATGAATCATTAAGACAGCAGGAAAGTTATTAAGAAATCTAACCTCAAGTACATGTGATTTCTGCTCAGAGCAGATCCATGAGCAAGAATTTAAATAGTCAAACCCATGTTGGATTATTTACTTACATTAAATAACCTAGGGTCCTTTGTGTGTGGATGGAATCCCTTCTTTTTACAAGCAGACACTTCTAGCATGCCAGCATTAGTAAGTCTGAAGATGCCAGTGCTGGAAAGCAAAACAAGAAACTCCTGTTACACACTGCTCCCATAATACATGTCCAAGGTTTCACATGCCAGTGTCTTAGCTTAAGAGAAGGACAAGAGAATAGCACTTGGTGACCTTCGATATCACAAGAGCCCAGGCTGAGTTGTTTTTTTAAATTTTAAACCAAAGGGAGTTACATTCCTGTAAAGGAAGAAATGATGAAAGGCAGGGGTTAGAAAAAAAATCACAGTAGTGGTGCTACTCCCATTAGGCAGTAAATGATTAGTGATGATTACCACTCCTTTAGGTAATCACATAATACAAAGCATTAGAAAATGCACTGCAGCACATGTGTGATCTAATACTTTTGGTATTGAATAAAATGTTAGAAACCCCACCCTTCTGTAAAGAAGACTGATAGCTATTAACAGCATGACAGCCCTGATAATGTTACAGGTTAGAGTTGATTACAGGATAGCAGCATAAACTGTGAAAGAAGTTTGGAAGATCAGAAATTTGAAAAGGTATACAGATATGCTCAAGGTTACAAAGCCTAGGGCTTGTGCTCTTGCCACATCTTTATTCACAGCTCTGCTACCTGAATGACCCATATAGGAAGTTAGGTATCCAAGACAGGATTTATTGAACTCATTTAAAGAGGCAAAAGGCCAAAAAAAAAAGGTTGAAGAAGTGCACAGTCTAAACAATAGTTAGGTCTGGTGCCCTGAAATGCCAAGCACACCAAAGGAGAATCAGAAAATTGATGAGGTTGGAAGGAACCTCTGAAGATTGTTTGGTCCAACATCCCTGCTCTGGCAGAATCACCTTGAGCAGGTTGCCAGGACCATGGCCAGTCAAGTTTTGAATATCTCCTAGGATTAAGAGTTCACACCCTCTCTGGGCAACCTGTTCCATTACAAACCTTCACATTAATATTTATGTGGTTCCATTTTTTTTTCATATATATATGGTTTATATTTTACAAAATAGAAAAATTCTACTCTTACTATCAAAAAAAGTAATTCTATTCTACTCTTACTATCAAAAAAAGTAATCTTTATCCTTCTGCTTCACAAACTGCAATTTTTATATAATTCTACAGAAATATGCCTCATCTCCCTCTACTTCCTTAACTAGATAGAATAAAGATAGATCTTGGTAGGCCACTGGCAACAAGAACTCCAGAAGAATAGCTCTTGTCATTACTACCTTACTACTTTGCTAAGCAGAATATAAAAATAAACAAAATTTAAAACCTGGGTCTAGGAAGGGAGGAGGAGAAAGAAACCAGAAACAATGTTGTGCATAGAGACTGACTGAAATGCAAGTCTGAGCTGCTTACAGAAAATAAATACACAACTCCCTATTCATGCCCTTCATCTGAGCTGGCATGTACTCATTGCATTTGATCAAATTTTATGAGAAGGAGCATGGAAAAATATCTAAATATTACTTAAAAAAAATCAGAACTCACTCATTATGCTTTGGTGAACAAACAATTGCAATGGCCTCTGGCAACATTAGCTGATAAGAACAATGAGTATGAAGATCAACACTGGATAAGAATGCAGTTTGTGTTGGATGTGTCTAGAAAAAGAAAGGGAAAACTTAACATCATGAAATAATTCTTACAGATCGAGATATAAATTCAAGAAGGAACAATAATTTGTGACAGGTGAAAACATCAGTACTTTCCCAGGTTGGTTTCTTAAGTTCTTATTGACCCAGATTCTGTGTTTTTAGGGTGGCTCTTCAGGATGAGATTCATGGAGGCACATTCACAATCAGGTACATAAGCAGTTTTCTGATCGTGGTGAGGGAAAGGTTAAATGAAGAAGCACAAGACAAAGGGAAATTTCTTAATTGTACAAAATCCCTAAGAGTGAAATCAAAATAAAGTTTCAACAACATAATACCTCCCCTCCCCAACTTTTGAATATGGCATTAGAAAGTAATAAAATATCCCTAAATATAAACAAAAGTTGCACTGGCAAGGCCAGGCCCATTGCATCAACAGGATGCCCCAACTGCATTAAGAAATACTCTGTGGAGAACACCAGTGGTCATTTAAATCACTACAAGTAGAATTAAGTAAGCAAATTCATTTGTATTAGTCCAGTTCTTTCTTTAGTTTATTTACAGGTTTCTTTTTCACACAGTATTTAGAGCCAATATAAAAAAGCCAGAATTTATGGATCATACTTACATGGATCCAACCTAAAGTGAGGAGATCATATTGATCCTGAATACCAAATAATTCTTCAACGTTCTCCATGTCACAGTAGTCTGGTCCCGCAGTTTGCTTTGGCACTATTACATGTGTAATAGTAAATTCATTATGTGTCTGTAAAACAAACGTTGACTTAGAGTGGAACAAATGAACTAATGAATAAATGCTGAATCAGAATCTGAAAGATGTCAGCCTATCAGCTAAAACAAAACAAGATAGGCTCCACTGATTCCAGTGTGGCTCTACTAACACACTGCACCTGAAAATATGCCTCGGCATTTAATTATAAAAGCATATAGGGCAGCATTAGTCACAGCATGAGACTGCTGTATTGAAATATTCTCAGAGACCACTGTGAAAAGATTATCCTTTAAAATAATGAAAAACATATACAAGAGGTTTAAGAAAACTATAATTATTTTCTGTGAAATTTGGAATATGACTACTGTTGCTATTCTTTCTCTCCATACAATTCAAATACACTTGGGATCATCTTTAAAATTCTTTGTATGCCAACATTAGCCAAGACATCTTTCCCTGCTCCGAAGGACATTGCGTTATCCAGGTCAAAAGCTAAAAAAACAGACTGAAAATCAGATGTTCTACAGTTTGACAGGGGGATTTGCTTCTTCTTTTTTGTTGTGGCACTATGAATTTGATGACTCCAGTGGATTCTAGCAGTCTTTATATTTCATTGTCCTGTAACTAAACCTCACTTACCTTACATGAATGCCAGAGAAAGTACTCGAAAAAGCCTGTGTTGTACACCAGCTGAAAAACTTGCTACAACAGAGTACTTCGATCAGATGTTTCCCCAGTAAGGCAAGCCCACAACGATGAAGCAATCACTTAGATATTATAATATGAAGTTCATTGCATTAAAGACTGATCATTTAGATCTACTCTGAAATCAATACATCACAGGATAACACAGTACAATCAAACACGCCTTCCCCATACAAATGTG